CGCCGGTGTCCCGCGAAAGTCCCGTGTGGCTGAGGCGCGGCCGGACCAAATGATTCCCTTCCGGGCGGCCGGTGGCCCGCGGTGTCCCGCCGGTGTCCCGCGAAAGTCCCGCGGTGTCCCGCGGTGCCCCGCGGTGTCCCGCCGGTGTCCCGCGGTGTCCCGCGATGATGATGATGATGATGATGATGATGATGATGATGATGATGATGATGATGATGATGATGATGACGTGATGATGATGATGATGATGATGGTGATGCTGATGATGATGATGATGCTGCTGATGATGATGATGATGACGTCGATGATGATGATGGTGATGCTGCTGATGATGATGAGGACGATAATGATGATGCTGATGATGATATGATGATGATGGTGTCCCGATGATGATGATGATGATGATGATGATGTCGATGATGATGATGACGATGATGATGATGCTGATGGTGTCCGGATGATGAGGATGATGATGATCATGATGATTATGTTGATGATCATGATGATGACGATGATGGTGTCCCGATGGTGATGAGTATGATGATGTTGATGTTCATGATGCTGATTATGATGGTGCCCCGATGATGATGATGTTGATGATGATGAGGTTGATGATGATTATGGCGTCCCGATGATGATGATTATTCTGATGGTGATTGTGATGATGTTGATGATGATGGCGTCCCGATGGTGATGATGATGACGATGATGTTGATGCTGATGTTGTTAATGATGATGATGGTGCCCCGATGATGACGACGATGATGATGATGCTGATGATGATGTTGATGATGCTGCTGATGATGATGATGCTGTCGATGATGAGGATGAGATGATGATGATGATGATGGTGTTCCGATGATGATGATGCTAACGATGGTGATCATAATGGTGTCCCGATGATGCTGATGATGATGATGACGATGACTGTGTCCCGATGCTGCTGATGATGATGATGTTGATGATGATGGTTGTGATGATGGTGATGATGATGGTGGTGTCCCGATGATGTTGATGACCGTGATGATGATGATGATGTTGGTGTTGATGATGAGGACGGTGTCCCGATTATGGTGATGTTGGTGATGATGATGTTGATGTTGATGTTGTTGTTGATGATGACGTTGATTGTGAGAGCGGTTGTGATATCGATAGTGCAATCGATAGTAAGACCGAATGTGATATCGATTGTGAGATCGATTCTGAGATCGATTGTGAGATCGATAGTCAAATCAATTGTGAGATAGATCGAGTGAGATCGATTGTGAGATCGATCGAGGGAGATCGATCGAGCGAGACCGATACTGAGATCGATAGTTAGATCGATAGTGAGACCGATCGAGTGAGACGTTGGTTCCTCCCCCCCCAAACCTCCTTATCACCCGAAGGGTGGTCGTATAGGTAGTAGTAGTCGTCGTCGTCGTCGTCGTAGTAGTAGTCGTAGTAGTAGTCGTAGTAGCAGTAGTAGTAGTAGTAATAGTAGTAGTAGAAGTAGTAGTAGCAGTAGCAGTAGTAGTAGTAGTAGTAGTAGTAGTAGTGTAGTAGTAGTAGTAGTAGTAGTAGTAGTAGTAGTAGTAGTAGTAGTAGTAGTAGTAGTAGTAGTAGTAGTAGTAGTAGTAGTAGTAGTAGTAGTAGTAGTAGTAGTAGTAGTAGTAGTAGTAGTAGTAGTAGTAGTAGTAGTAGTAGTAGTAGTAGTAGTAGTAGTAGTAGTAGTAGTAGTAGTAGTAGTAGTAGTAGTAGTAGTAGTAGTAGTAGTAGTAGTAGTAGTAGAGTAGTAGGAGTAGTAGCTCCGAAGGTCCGTCGGACCAGTGCTTTGCGGGTATTACGCAAGCTTGTAGAGAACAACCTGGATGACCTGCATGTTCCACTAGGTTGCTTGCAGGGTGAAGCCGCGAAGTTCTCAAATCGGAAGAAACAAGGAGTCCATAACCACATTGAATTGAGCCAAGGCTTGGGGGCAGAAGCTTAAGCCAGAAGCTTGAGCCCTGCGTTCGTGCGACAAGCGGAGAGGTTCAACGGCCAGGACGATGATTCTGTCTGCACCACGACCACACTGGCGATGACGTGAGGAATGATGCCACCAGCGTAGGCGAGACGAAAAAAGTCGGTAAACAGATCAGGACTTTTAGTCTAGGGTTACCATGGCACTGGGCTTCAAGCGGCCGCGTATCAGCATAGTATCAAATCTTCTCGAGCTCCGCTCTTCTGGCCCCTCGCCTCGTCTGCGTGGGGCCAGGAGCTCTGCATCTGCTCTGTGGCACGCCCGCACTTCTGCAACCTATCTGCGCCTGCTCCTGCTTGCCACACCCTCCGTGGAACGAGGGGTGCGAGACGCGGCACGCGCGGATGAGACATGGAAGCGAACGGAAGCAGCAAGAGATAACCATAATGTCAGGAGGAAGCCAGACGGAACGTGAGCATGCCTGGCTCGCCCAATGGCAACGTCTTCCACTCCCCTCTCGCCTCGCTGCTCCTCCTTTCCAACCCTGCCCCCTCCCACCAGCTCATGTCGCCATGCTCTGGACGAAGCATAGACGCGTGCTCCTCCGCGCTGAAAGTCCTCACCGGGACTTTCGCAGGCTCGTGGGGCACAGTGGAAAAATACAAGGCCGACTCTGGACACCCTGTGACCAAGAATGTTGACGTCCCACTGTCGGCTACACGTAAGTGTGACCCTAGGCAAGAGTGATCTCTGGTGCGCGGCATTCGGGGGGCGCGGGGAGCCCAAATCCAAGCGCCCTAGCCGCTGATGCCGCATCGCAGTCAGTGGTCGGGAGACCTCCAGTGGGCCTGCACCAAGGGTCGCTCCAGTGAAGGGTCACTCTTACTCCAAGTTTCTTAATGATTCTTAATGAGCGTCGGGGGGGAGGGGGGGCGTCACCCCCCGCCGACAGCCCCACATCGACCCCCGTCGCGGGCAGCCACCGCGCGCCGAAGGCGCTCCGACCCCCGTCGCGGCGCGACGACGAGGCGAAGTTGACCCGCGTCGGTGGGATCCCCCCCCCCCCCACCGCGCGCGTTGAGCAACCCAGAGTGCGCGTAGTCGATCACTGCCTCTTGTAGCTAATTGGGCTTGCCCGTTGGCCCGGACACCCTGCTCGCCTGCCTGCCTCTTCGCTGGCGGCCGCGACCGAAAAAGTAGTCGATCCCTGTTCCCTCGCCGCCCTCCGCCGACCTTCCGCCCGCCTCCGCCGGCGGACCCGCCGCCCCCTCTGCTTCCGCCGTTGTCCGCGGGCCTTCCGCCGAAGGCGAAAGGCGCCGAAGGCGAGGCCCTTGCTTGGGCAAGCGCGCTCCACTGCCCGCAAAGTGACTGCTCGCAGATGGCCTGGATCCGCCGCGGGTGATCTACGATCCATTACGTGTGGGGAGGCCGTTCTGCTTCGGGCGATTGCGAGTAGGTACTTCGCGAGTAGCAGAACGCCCTCGGTGATTTCTGGAACGCCACACCTGCGTGTTGCGGCCGATGTGCGATCTGCAGCATGCGCAGGAGCCCTGGCACTCGACATCAGCCTGGACCAGGAGTGTCCTCCGCACGAGGCGCCCTGCGCCATGAAGATCGCCATGAGGGCGCAAGGAAGACATTCCCGCACGGCGAAAACTATCCCACGACCTGCCCACCACTATGGCCTTGAAGCAGACTTGCCGACAAGGGCGCAAGAACATGGCAGCAACTCCCTTGCGCACGCGACGTGCTGTAAGGAAGCAGAGCACGACGCCCGCAGCAGAAAACTGGCACATGCAGCAGCGGTGAGCATGATCACTTGACAACACCTCCCAGGACAGCTTGTTGCCAGCCAATGTCGAAAACAGCGGTCATCCGGCGAAAAGAGTCCATCCGGCGACGCGACTTACTAGTTGCAATGCTTTCTACACGATTAGCTCACGCAGATTAGAGCCCATCGATGCAGCGCTTGCGCGGAGATTCGCTGCATGCAATTTCATTCGGCACCGAACGGACTCTCCGCTTGAGCGCGGGCGACAATTCTGCTTGCAATTCTGGTGGCAATTCAAGGATAGAAGGGCAGGAGATAATGGAAAAGGAGAAATCAAGAGAGGCTCGCATCACCTCCGACGCCGTACCCCTCCCAACAGAGGCCTCCTAGATGGTATCGGAACAGATGGGGTCGAAGGATCGCGCCGCATCGCCATTGCCTCGGCGATGCATCGGCGACGCATCGGGGATGCACTGGCAATGCATCGGCGATGTCGGCGTGAAGCAAATCGGCCTCCACATCGAACCGTCTCGCCGATGCGTCGGCGATACGGCTCGACCCTCCGACCCCGTCTGCTCCGACCCCATCTAGGCGGCCTATTCCCACCCATCGAACGAATGAGGCAGCGGCCAAGTGCTGGCAAGAGTGGGCATCGCTCCAACTGACTACCTACCGCACTACCCCAACCCCACCCGAAGACCCAGACGTCGGGTTGGGGGGGGGGTACGGGATCCATATGTGTTTTTTCACCCACCGAGCCACCTGGACAACTCTTGGCGGGCCTAAATGGACGCCTGTACTTCGGATATCCTTACCTCTGGTGGCTCTGATAAGAAAACGGAGGGCTTTCTGACCCAAAACTTAGCCACACGCGCGATTATCTTCGCGCCCTCGTGAAGGGCAGCCGCTCTGGCCCAGACCGCGATGCGCGAAGCGCGGTAATCTTCGCGCCCCAGCGGGGGGGGGGACCCAAGCATCTGATTGACTGGCTGGGCTGATCTGAAGGGCGAGGGAGCGGGGGAGGGCGCGGGGGAGGGGGAGAGGGATAAGCCAAACGCAGAGGGAAGGAGGGAGGGAGGCAGGCAGGCAGGCAGACAGGCACGCAGAGAGCAAACGAGGAGGGCATGACCCCCTCGATTCCTGTAATCTGCCCAGCCCAGGGTTCGCACCCGCTCGAGGCCCTGAAGCACGTCCAGCATCGACAGCTCGAAATCCTGCGGCAACAGCGCCCGTGGACGGGCCCGGAGGAGGAGGATGAGGAGGAGGAGGACCAATTTTAACCCAAGACTCATCAACGACGTTGACATACATCCTCCCTCCAAGACCCCTCTGCGTAGGCCCCTATAAGGCGCCATTTCCACTGAAGGAACTTCCCCCCTTGGAGGACAACCGTGTGAACATCTTAAAGCGCGCCAAAACACCATTCTCAGGACTTGAACGCCACGAGCTCACCTGACTGTTACGTCATGGCGATCCTGAATCGTGCCAGGACACCTTCCTGGGACTTCAACACCGCGAATCAACGTAAATGTTGCGCCCTGGCAGTCCTGAACCGTTCCACACCGTTTCTGATGCGTTAACCATGAGAGCCAATGAAAGCCTTGCAAACATGTTACAACTAATGCACGCGGCGCTAAAACGAAAACCACAATTTGAGAAGGAACCGCCTTCAACCCGTAAGACTGTTGCAACTGTTTAGAAAGAATGTGCGCGGCGCCAAGGCGAGAATCACAGTTTGAAAATAAACCGCCCTCAATACATGAAGCTCATGCAAAGGTCTAAAACGAATGTCCACGGCGCTAAGGCGATAATCACATGTTGAAAACTACCCGCCCTCAATCCTCGAAGCTCTTGCAAATGTTCAACATGAGTGCGCGCGGCGCTACGGCGAGAGCCACCGTTTGAAAACGGCCCGTCCTCAATTCATGAAGCTCTTGCAAATGTTCAAAGCGAATGTGCGCGGCGCTGAGGCGAGAACCACATTCTGGAGAGGGCCCACCCTCCTTCCGTGAAGCTGCTGTCAAGTGTCAAGCGCCAGGGCTATACATGATGAGGGAATCTCGAGCGAAACGCCGGGCCCTCCCTTTCGACTGGCCTCGAAGTGCGATAGGGAGGAGTCATCTATAAGGAAAAAGAACGGAGAAGGAGGAGACGGAAGAGGGGGGGGGGGGAGGGGGGGAGGGGGGAGGAGGGAGGGAGGAGGAGGAGGAGGGGAGGAGGAGGAAGAGGAGGAGGAGGAGGAAGAGGAGGAGGAGGGGGCCAGAGGAGGAGTAGGAGGAGTAGGAGGAGGAGGAGGAGGAGGAGGAGGAGGAGGAGGAGGAGGAGGAGCAACAAGAGCAGGAGGAGGAGGACGAGGGGGGGAGGGGAGGAGAGGGAAAGGAGTGCAAGCTAGGTGCCCTCGCGCCACATCTAACATCCGATCCCCACATCCTACCCCTCCCATCCCTTCATATTGCACTGATGTGTTCTCTATCCGCGGACGCGTGTCGTAGCCGACCTGGAACTCCAACAAAAAGATCCCATCGTGTTATGCACAATCGGAGAAAGCGGAGCTGCGTCAATAGGAGGAAGGGGTGGCGGGTGAGCAGGAGGATGAGCAGGAGGCAAAGGGGGAGGTTACGGAATGAGGAGGACGAAGACGAACAACAGCAACAGGAACTGTAATGGAAGGAGCCCGAAGAGCAGGAGGGCCAGGGAAGGTTGAGGAGAGGAAATGAAGGGGGCAAAGACAATGAAAACGGACTCGGATCCAGAAAGGTGCCCGATGCTGGGGGGAGAGCGCCATTTGAACGACGGGAGCAAAGCGCCGATCCGAAAATGAGGCCCACGCTGCAGCGGGAATACCATTTCAAACACCGAAATCAACCATATTGCAGGCACATACGGAACCAAACTAAAACAGCGTTTGCGACCGTGCGCAACGCAAAACAATATGCGGAGAAGGCCGATCACCTTATGCACAGAGTCAGAGGAGTGTAGTATTCCGAATGTGTAGCTGTGGAGGGAAGGGAGGGGAGGGAGGGAGGGGGAGAGGGGAGGGCAAGCTAGGTGCTAGGTACGCTCGCGTCATATCTGACATCCTACCCCTCCCTCCCATCCCTTACCATGGCGCAGATCCCCTCTCTACTCGCACAGTCGGATGTCAAGCAGGGCGATGATCCCGAAAGGGTACGCGATGCATTGTAGAGCACGGCATGGCATGGCGTAGAAGAGCACCGCGAAGCGTAGTATCAACCTGGCATTGAATTGCATGCCGTGGCACGGCACGGGAAATGACGCCAGCGCTGCAGCGGGAGCACGAGTCGAAACGAGCGGAAGCGCGGAAATGAGGCCAGCGCTGCAGCGGGAGCACGATTCGGAACGAGCGGAAGCACGGAAATGAGGCCAGCGCTGCAGCGAGAGCACGATTCGGAACGAGCGGGGCCCGAAAATGAGGCCAGCGCCTCAGCGAGAGCAGCATTTTGGAAAAGAATGCAAGCGAAAGCCTGACTCCGGGGAAAGCTTCCCGGGCGCCAGAAGCAGAAATTCAGCATTTTCAAAAGAAAAAATTGTATTGGAATGGCCTTTTTTCGGCGCCGCCTCGGAACTCGATTTTCCGGCGCCGGCCGGAACCGGCTCCGGACCCGGCCCGGGCGCCGGCCCGGGCGCCGGCTCGGGCGTCCGGCCCGGGCGCCGGCTCGGGCGCCGGCCTGGGCGTCGGAATCGGCCCGGAGGCCTCCCGGGCGCCGGAAGAAGAAATTGCATTTTCAAAAGAAAAATGTGTATTAGAATGGCCTTTTTTCGGCGCCGCCTCGGAACTCGATTTTCCGGCGCCGGCCGGAACCGGCTCCGGACCCGGCCCGGCGCCGGCCCGGGCGCCGGCTCGGGCGTGCAGCCCGGGCGCCGGCGGAAATGATGCCAGCGCTGCAGCGGGAGCACGATTCGGAACGAGCGGGGCCCGAAAATGAGGCCGGCGCCTCAGCGAGAGCAGCATTTTGGGAAATGCAAGCGAAAACCCAACTCCGGGGAAACCTGTGTAAAAAAACAGTACGCGGGGGGGGGGGGCGAATATTCCCAAGACGTCATCAGGGGAAGAGGGAGAGTAGTATTCATATTGAGTAATTGTGGAGGGGGATTGGGGCAGGGGGAGAGAAGGAGGAGGAGAACAGAGGAAAGAAGGGGGAGGATGCGGAGGAATCTGCCGACACAGCATGCGGGTCCAAAGAGCATACGGAAGGAAGTGGATCGCCGAGCAGGATAAAGGGGGTTCGAGGTGGAGGGCGCTCGACATCAGCGAACGAGAAACAGTTTGAAGTGATTTCTATAATCGGCCTCTTGGGCTTCAAGTGCCGCCTGAGATGGCCCAAAACGGCCCCAAAGGGGCACCAAGACGGCGCTCCAAGAAGGCCCAGCAAGCCTCGACGAGATGCCAAGAGGTCTCAAGAGGCCATTGGGAGGCTCACGCGTGGCTCCAAGACGCTCCAAGAGAGGCCCCAGACAGCGAAAACCAGCAAAACAGAATTGGCTTGTTCGCGCTCTCGGCTCAGCATGGTCTCAAGGTGGTGGATTCAGAAGGCTCAAAGACTGCCCACGAGGTCCCAAGAACCACCCAAAGCGGTCGAAGAGGCCCCAAGACGGTTCAGGAGGGCCTGAATCCAAGATGGCCCAACAACAAAGCCTGAGGACGGCGCCAAGGGAGCCCAAGAGAGCTCCCTGAGAGACTCAAGACGCTCCGAGACGGCTCAAGCGACTCCAAGGGGCCCCTCAAAGGCCCCCTGGAGGACCACCAGAGGTCTCCAAGAGAACACCGAGGGGCGCCCGAGACGATCCAAGAGGCTTTCGGATCTCTGTGCGGATTTCTTGGATCGGCGCTGGAACCTCCTCCGGCGCTGGAACCCCCTCCCTGGCGCGCGGAGCGCACCAAGGGCGGCGCCAGAGGCGCAAGAAGCGCCGACAGGGGGGCCCCAGCGCCGATCCAAGAGATCCGCGCGGAGTTTCGACGGCTTCTGTTCCTGATTCTTCCTCGAGTTGTGTATCCCCTACGTGTGGCCTAGACGACCTGAGCGACTCGATGAGCGTGGTCGAGTTCAGAAGCCCTGAAGCCAAACATGATGTGATCTCTCTTCTTTATCTGCGACGCGCGTGTATGGTTGTGATAGCTGGTGGTGCTAAACACTTCAGCTGCGGTATTCAACCGTCGAAGTGTGCAGGATGTACGGCGGCCTGCGGCGTGCCCTTCGCAAAAGGTCCAAACTTGGGCTCAAGTAGCTTGGCGTGGCCAGGGGGAGTATGCAGCCAGGAACGCGTTGGCGCCGGGCCGGCGAGCTCAGCGGCCCTCCACCGATGACAGCCGAGTTACCGTCACGCGGTGGGCCTTGGCCACCGACTCCGTCGCGGCCGCATCCTGCTTCGCCTTCTTCATGTACGCCATCACCTTGTTGACCTCCTCGTTGTAGGTGTAGCCCGCATCCCAGTCCCAGCGGGGGTCCCATTGCCCCCCGCCTCCTCCTCCGTACCACTCCCCTGTTCCATAGGGGACCCCGGGCGTCCCATACTTGAAAGGGATGACCCCTGCCTTCAGATCGGTGGCATGCCCGTACACGTGCGGCCCAGGACTAGAGCCCGAGCCTTCCCACTTCTCCAGCTGGTCCAGGCCTGGGACATTGAGATGGCCTTGGCGGGGGTACTCCAGCTTGGGTGGAGGTGCCGACTTGCACCACGTGGGAACGGGGAGGCCGCGCCTCTCGAAGTACGCAGGATTCACCCACACATGGTCCATATAGTGAAAGCGCGGCTCAACATAGTTGATCCAATACGCGTCCAGGCCACCGATATAATTGAAGGAGGCATTGTGCATGATCTCAAAGATGAGCTCTTCGGTAGCGTCTTTGGACCTGTGCTGAACGAAATACTGATACCCACGACCAGTGCGACGACCATCGAAGCGGACCAAGACGACCCCGAACTCGATGTTCTTCCCTGAATAAAAGAAGGTCTCATTCAGCACCTCTGCCTCATAATGGCCGTTGTGCACGGCCCAGAAGTCAATGGTCTTACGACCGCCCAGTTCTTCCATGAAGGTGGGGATGTTGTAGGCGTGGATGAAGTGACCACTCTCCATGTCGATTACGCCTTCGGTGTCGAAGCCGATCTTCGTGGCGTTCCCTGTCGGAGACAAGCACCCGAGGAATATCCACGCTTTCCGCAGCTTGCCCCACAACGTTGCGAACTCGTAGATTTGAGGCTCGAGTATGAGGCCGCGCCAGCCGGTGAGCTCGAGCAAGAGCGTGTAGCTGTTCGTCTCGCCATCCCCGCCATGGGTGTCCAGATAGAAGCCGTTGGTGACGTTCTCGAGCACCTGCGTGATGAGCTTGACGTCCTGCCAGGCGCTGCTGAAGGTTTGGATGTTGTCCCCCGTTTCCAGGCTGTACTCGACCCAATGGGGCACGTCGAGCATGTGCATGGCCGAGTACTCGTGGACGGGCCACGAGTCGCCGGTGCGGGGCGTGCCGACGCCCCAGGGCAGCTCGGCGCCCTCGCCCTGCCCCTCGGACTCGCCGGCTCTCTGGAACTCCTCCGAGGGCTGGAACTCCCCTTCCCCCTGGTGGCCCTGGGCCGAGGCCAAGCCGAGAAGGCTGGAGCGGTCGGTGCTGCGCCTTGACTCCTGCAGCGCCCTCCGGACAACGCCCGGCGGCATGATCACGGGCCTCCTTTCAGGAGAGGCTGAGTCCAGACGGAGTGAGCCCCGACGGAGACCGAGCACTCCGTGTGGACTCAGCCTCCTGCCGGAAGAGGCCAAGGCCAGACGGAGCGAGCCCAGGTCGAGACCGAGCGCTCCGTGCGGACTCACTCCGGACAGACTCCGCCTCCGCCGATCCTTGCAGACGCGTTCTCCAGGCTGCGGAAGAAGTCCATGGCCTCCGGCGACAGCGCCGCGCTGCGCCCGTCGGCCTTGCGGCCGGCGCCCACGGCCTCCGAGCTGAAGGCGATGCCCTGCGCCAGGGGTGCGCAGAGCGTCAGCAGCAAAAGCGCCACCATTGCGTGGATGGAAGTGTAGCTCTGGTGGGTCGTGGATCGCGCTGCAGCGCGCAGGCAAGACCCCCTCCCCTTGAGAACCTCAAGCCAAAACGGCTTGAGCCCGGATGGCTTCGGCAAACATGCTGTCATCTCTTGGGGGAGCGTCTTTTACTTCTGCCGGCTTTCGCCGGCCTTCCGCCGGTGTCCGCTGGCGGAGTCGCCCTCTTCCTAGTTCCTCCGGCTTCAGCAGGAGGTAACCCCTTCGCTTCCTGGAAGGCAAGGCCGCTTCTGCAGCGCCCCACGTGTGGTTCAGACGACCTGGGTGACTCAATGATTTGGACGCCCGATATGGGTACGAACAAATGGGCACAATGCCGTACAAAAAACGTTGTCCGAAACCGACAGCGGCCTCTTTTGGGCAGGCGGGCTTCCGCCTCAAATGGACAACGCCCGCGGCGACGCCGACAGCGAGTCCTGCTCAAAATGAACAAGAACTGCTGTCGGTCTTTGTGCCCATCCTTTCCGTACCCATGGCGATCGCACCGACCCGACCGGCTGCTTGATCGATCGGTAGATGGGGGCGGAGAGCCAGCCGTGGAGGCGCGCGACCCGTCCTGGTCGGCCTCGTCCGCGAGTACGCTGTTCGTCGCACTCTCGCCGCGGCAATCCTGTTGTGGTCATCGTCGCCGTCGTCGTCGTCGTCACGCCCTCCCCACTCCCTCCCTCTCTCTTCCTTCCTCGTCCCTCCATCCTCCCTCCCTCTCATCCCCCCTCCTGTTTCATCCTCCCTATTCCTAGCCTCCCTCATCGCTCCTCCTTCATGCTCCCTCCTCCTCCTCCTCCTCCTCCTCCTCCTCCTCCTCCTCCTCCTCCCATGTTGGCCGATTCTGGGCCACTGGCGACGTTGAGCCATGAACGCCCGCGGCGGGGCCGCCGCCGCGTCGACGCGACACGAACCTACCCCACAGCCGCGCACTTCTGAAGCCCATGCAGGCGGCACAATACCCCAGACCGAGAAAGCCTACTCCAGATCCTTCAATAAGCCCCCCCCCCCCGGACTAACCTGTCCGACGCCCCTTACCCGCCCCCCCCACGCGCCCCAAACCCACCCCATCTCGCTCCCCAACCTCCCCACGCCCCCCGAAGGACAGCGGTTTCCTCCCCCCACGCGATCCACCCCCCCACGCTTATTGAGAGAACTAGAGTAGAGCGCACGCCCAAACCCAAACGGAGGGAAGCTGGCGAAACCGCTAGCCAGCTTCTGCCATCTTCGGGATGCCAGAACAAGCGTTTTGGAGGCGTACACACATCAGGCCAGATCTGGAGCACAAAGACCGCATGGTGTAGAAGAAGAAACTGGCGCTCAACTTGTAAACATAGGCTCTCGGAGCTCCGCGCGGACTTTCTGGATCTGCACTGACACCCCCCCTCCCTGGCGCGCGGAGCGGGCCAGGGCCGGCGCCGGAGGCGCCGCCAGGGAGTCCCCAGCGCGGATCCAAGAAATCCGTGCGGACCTCGGAAAGCTGATGTGCATTTAATATTTCTGCTGCGATTCAAACCAGATTTGGACTGGAGACCCCCGTGCCCCACAAACGAACGACGCCAGCGTCGAGAACTATTCCCGCGCGCAGGCGTACTGAGACGACCCTCGGCTCACAGCTCAAAGAGCGGCCAGGAGCGCACCTGCTGGGAGGGCACTGTTTTTACTCGCGGCGCACGCCGTGTGCGACCGTGAGCAGGTGGCCTCTGGAAGGCTCCCTGGGAGAGTTGGAAGCTCCGCTGGTTTCTGGCCTGCACTCGTTCCTACTCCTCCTCCTCCTCCTCCTCCTCCTCCTCCTTCTCCTCTTCCTTCCTTCCCCCTCCTCCTCCTCTTCCTCCTGCTCCTCCTCCTCCTCCTCCTCCTCCTCCTCCTCTCCTCCTCCTCCTCCCCGTCCTCCTCTCATTCCTTCACCTCCTCCTCCTCTCATCGTCCTCCTCCTCTCATCCTCCTCCTCCTCCTTCTCATCATCATCATCATCATCATCATCATCATCATCATCATCATCATCATCATCATCATCATCATCATCATCATCATCATCATCATATCATTATCATCATCATCATCATCATCATCATCATCATCATCATCATCGTCATCATCGTCATCATCATCATCATCATCTTCTTCGTCATCATCAGCATCATCATCACCATCATCAGCATCACCATCATCATCATCATCATCATCATCATCATCTTCATCTTCATCTTCATCTTCGTCATCATCAGCATCATCATCACCATCATCAGCATCACCATCATCATCATCAACAGCATCAGAATCATCGTCCTCATCCTCATCCTCATCCTCATCCCCATCAGCATCATCATCATCATCATCATCATCATCATCATCATCATCATCGTCGTCGTCGTCGTCGTCGTCGTCATCATCGCCGTCGTCATTATCATCATCCTCACCACCATCACCATCACCATCACCATCACCATCACCATCACCATCACCATCACCATCACCAACACCAGCATGATCATCACCAGCACCAGCACCAGCATCACCATCATCATCAGCAGCAGCATCGGCATCAGCATCATCAGCATCACCAGCACCATCATCACCACCAGCATCATCAGCATCACCCTCATCCTCATCATCATCATCACCACCATCATCGTCGTCGTCATCATCAGCATCATCATCAGCATCATCATCACCATCAACATCATCAACATCTTCATCATCGTGATCCTCATGCTAATCCTCATGCTAATCCTCATCCTCATCCTCGTCCTCATCCTCCTCCTCCTTCTCATCTTCATCCTCATCTTCATCATCATCAGTTTCATCCTCCTGCTCCTCCTCCTCCTCCTTCCTTCATCCTCCTCCTTTTCCTCCTCCTCCTCCTCCTCTCAATGTTCCTCCTCCTCCCCGTCCTCCTCCTCCTCTTCATGTTCATCTTCCTCTTCCTCCTCCTCCTCCTCATCCTCCATTCTTGTTCCATATAAATCACTCCTCCGTGTCGCACGCCGACGCCCGACAAAACGCAATTTCACAGATGGTGGGCGGATGGTGTTCAAACTGTGGCGCTCACCTTAGCGCCGCGCACACTCATTTTCAAAGATTGCAAGCGGGCTTCACGGATGGAGGGCGGGTCGTTTTAAAATGTGAGTATCGCCTTATCTCCGCGCATCTTCGTCTAACAAAATGGGAAGCGTTTCACGGATCGAGGGCGGGCCGCTTTCAAAATGTTGATCTCGCCTTAGCGCCGCGCGCATTTACCTGAAACAAATGCTAGAGCTTCACGGGTTGAGGGAAGTTCCTTTCCAACATCTGTCTCTCGCCTTTGCGCCGCGCACATTCGTTTTACATATCGCAAGCGTTTCATGGCTCATGACCAGAAATGGTACTTTGGAGCGGTTCAGGATTGCCAGGGCGCAACAGTTACTTTGATTCGTGGTGCTGAAGCCTCAGGCCTGGCGTTATGGCGCGATTCAGGACCGTCAAGACGCAACAACCAAGTTGACTCGTAGCGTGCACATGCCGAGAAAGGTGTGTTGGCACGCGTCAGGATCTTCAAACGGTTGTCTCCTAACGGGGCACTTCCCCCAGTGAAAATGAATACTGTTTGGGGCCTACGACGGGGAAGCTTGAAGGGAGGGGTTATTTCAACAGCGTCGATGAGTCTTGGGTTTCAGTCGTCCTCCTCCTCATCCTCCATATTCTTCTCCTCCTCCTGCTCCTCCTCCTTCTGCTTCTCCTCCTCCTCCTCTTCACCTCCACCACCATCATCATCATCATCATCAGCAGCAGCATCATCAACATCATCATCACCATCATCATCATCAACAACATCATCATCATCAACATCATCATTATCATCATCAGCATCCTGCTCATCCACCTCCTCCTCCTCACCATCATCAGCAGCATCATCAACAGCATCGACATCATCAACGCCATCATCACCATCATAATCAGCATCAGCACCCTCATCATCATCATCACCACCTTCATAATCAGCAGCATCAGCATCAGCATCAGCATCGGCAACATCGACATCTTCACCAGCATCATCATCAGAATCAGCATCAGCATCAGCATCAGCATCAGCATCATCATTCTCGTCGTCGTCGTCTTTGTCGTGGTTGTAGTCGGCGTCGTCATCGTCGTTGTCATCGTAAGCATCATCACCATCACCATCTTGGTTGCCCTGGTGCTCCCAGTTGTCGTGCGGGTCCAGGTTGCATCGCGGGCTTGGGTGCCTCCCCCTGCCCAGAGCGGGGGCTGTGCGACGCACGCCGTCCGCCGAGGGGGGATCATCACCATCACCATCACCGTTACCGCCACCACACCCACCACCACCACCACCATCACCACCACCATCACCACCACCACCACTATCATCATCATCATCAGCAGCAGCAGCATCATCAGCAGCATCAGCATCAGCATCAGCATCATCAGCATCAGCATCATCATCAGCATCATCATCAGCATCGGCATCAGCATCATCATCCGCATCTTCATCGGTATCAGGATCAGCATCAGCATCATCATCAGCAGCAGCAACATCATCCTGCTCCTCCAGCCCACATTCTGCTCCCCCTACTCCTCCTGCTCCTCCTCCTCCTGCTGCTGCTGCTGCTCCTCCTCCTCCTCCTCCTCCTCATGCGGCCGTTGCGGTCCACGAACGGCCGCAGCGGCTCGGAGCGAAATGGCCTGAATGCGTCGTCCGCCCGCATGCCCTTCGCGAGGACCAGGTAAGCGCCTCACCCGCCTCTTTTGGCATCTCTCCTGCTGCTGCTGCTCCTCCTGTTTCTTCCTTCTGTTTCTCCTCCCTCCTCCCTCCGCCTCCTCCGCCTCGTCCTCTTCCTTCTCCTTCCCCTCCTGAGCATCCCCTCCTTCCTTCCTTCCTTCCTGCCTCCCGTAGTCCTTGCGTATTTCCTTCCCCCTCCTCCTCCCTGCCTCTCCTTTTCCCCATCCGATCCCCCATGCTTCATGGCCTCCCTCCTCCCTCCCCCGCTGCCACGGCAGGCGCCTGCTCCCGCAGGGCCCGCGGCGCGAAACGCGCGCGCCGCACCCGCCGTCGGGCGGGCGGTATGTGCGCCGCGTGCACGAGGGAACGATACCCAGCGCACAGCTGCTCGGCCACCGTGGGGGTGGAGGGCCGGGAAGCCCCCCCCCCTGCTCCCAGGCACACGACGAGGGGCCCCTCCCCTCCCACCCAGCGCACAACTGCTCGGCCACCGTGGGGGGGGGAGGGCCGGGAAGCCCCCACCCCCCTGCCCGGCACACGAGGGGGACCCCCCGCTCCCAGCCCCCCCGACCCCCCCGCGTCGCGTTCGTGTCGGACGCACGCTAACATGGATCTGGGAAGTACCCCGGCAGCACGAGACAGGCCAGCGCCGCATGATCTGGCGACGGAGCGCACCGATGATGTGTGGAAACGTGGTGCCAGGCGCTAATCCACGCGCCTGGATCCATGTCTGCGCTTTTTCGATCGTTGGGTATTGCTCTCTCCGCCATGCGGACCCCCCCCTCCACACACGACAGGGAGTCGCCCAGAGGGGAAGGCAGAGAGGGCAGGCCTGCTCGGAAGGCTCCGAGGGGCTCTGGCCATCTGCGAGGCTTCCAGAGCCCTCTCTCCGAGGCCCCGTCCCCCTTCTGAGAAGGCCTTCAGTCAACCCGCACAGCAAGGGTGAGCGACTCTCCAAGGTTACCCTGGCATCCTTGCCCCTTCGGCCCATCCTCGGCGGCTTTCGCTGGCCAAACTCGCTCGAAAAATGCCAGCATGGCCCTCCAGGGCCCTGGCATCCTTACCGCGCATCCTTATCATACGGGTTGACTGTGCCCCCTCTCGCTCTTCCCCTCGGCGCGCCGCCGACGGACTCCGACGGATGCCCACTCGGGACTTCAAGCCTCGAGGCGCTCTGGCTCGGCGAGGGGACAGGAGAGAGACCCGACTCATGCCGAGAAGCTGGAAGCGCACACGGGGCCCACAAGCGTTCAACGGTGAAACAAAATCTTGCCGAACCCCTCCTTCCGCTCGGCTTCTGTCGGCTGCACGCAAGAGTGACCCTGGGCAAGAGTGACCTTGGGTGCGCGGCTTTCCGAGGGGGCGCGAGGAGGCCAACACACAAGTGCGCAGGACGCCACTCTCGCAACGAGCGCGGCGATCGGGGAACCCCGGTGAGCGCGCACCGAGGGTCCCTCCGGCGAGGGGCCACTCTTACGTGCAGTCGATCCTGGCATGGGCCAGCTGCCGCGGGAAGCGTCCCGGGCCGGGAGCGCGCGCGGCCGGGACCCGCGAGGGGAGCACGCGCAGGCACCGCGCCGCGGAGGCGCGCCGCGGAGGCCTGGCCTGCAGGGCCATAGGGGGGGGGCCGAGCGCGGGAGAGAGAGACGTGCGGCCACACGAGGCGTCCAGCTCACGAGTCGGGCAAAGCCCTGCGCGCGGGCGGGGAGGCGCATGGTGGTCCGAGGCATGTGCCCGAACGAGGGGGAGGAGGGCAGCGAAAGTGTCGAAAGAACGGTGAAATGCGGGAGACTTCGTGGCCCCGGCCATGGTATCCACACGCTCGTCGTCTTCACCCACCTCTTCGGCGCTTGGAGGCTATCAGGCCAGAGTTCTGGCCTCTGGTGGCCGTTCGGGACGCGGGCACCCCCGGGAAGCCCTCGGCGAGGGACAGCGAGGGACAGCATCCCGAGGCACGAACATCTAGAAGAACCCACGACAACGCCCTGCCCCCTCGACGACGAGAACGGCACCATCCCCCTCGACGACCGAAACGTCCTCCCCCTCGACGACGCGGACGCCCCCCGAGAGAGGGGGCGCTGCCGAGAGTTGCCAGGGCTGGCCCTGCTAGCCTCTCGCATGGCCCGCGCCCCCTCGGCAGGGCCCCGAGGGAGGCTGGCAGGGGCCCCCTGCCAGGAGACCGGCCTGGGCGCGCGCACGGCCCGGAGAGGGGGCGACCCTGCCTCCAGAGCCGAGATCCGCAGAGACGGGATGGGAGGGGAGGGAATTCCATTGATTGAGCACTTCGTTAAGTGTGGAAGAAAGGAGGGAAAGAAAAAAGGGCGGGGAGGCGGAATGGAAGGGACAAGAAGGTGGGGGAGAAGGGGGAGGGGATGTGGCCAGGGAGAGGAGACGGGGCGAAGGGAGCTCCGACTGCAACGTGTGGCATCACCCCGCCACCTCCGTGTGGTAAGAGCGCGCACGATCCCTGCATGCGTGGTACTATTTCGTCTGCAGCACTGCTGCTGGGAGGACCGTCACTGACGCTATGACAAATTGATTCACAGTAAAGGGGAGCTTGGGTGGCCGTCAACACGAAATGGGAAACTGCTCTGGCTGAGCGAGCGAGCTGTTCTGACTCAACTCGGCCGTGACGGACATGTGTTCTGGCTCATGCGCTGATGCACTGAGATTGCGCAGGGAGCGTTCTGGTCAAATATCGTAGCTGACGCCACCCCCGACATGCAGACATAGAGAGTACATAGAGGGGATATCCGCCACCGTTTCTGCATGATGTCGGCGTGTTAGAAAACCAAATTCTGCTCTGCATGGTTTTTGTATTCTAGTGAGGGACCCCCTCTACCGCCAGACATCTGCATGCATCGCCCCTGCTCCCGTGGCCACGATCCCTCGTAGAGAGAAACGATGGGCCCGCGCTACCGAAGCAACGATACGTCATACAAAAACTATGTGTCCAAAGATCCGAGCTTCCGAGACGGCCCAGGCAAACAACCACGGCAACCAAGATGGCCCAACATGCCTCGAAGATGGACCAAGACGGTCCCGAGGCGGCCACCACTGGCCACAAAACGGCTCGAGATGCCTCAAAGAGGGCCCAAGAGATCCCCAATAGGACCTCCAACAGGGCCCGAATTTGCCAAAGTCCTGGATTTCCATTGGGCGTTTGAAAGATGTTCGCAGTCTTGCCTTTCGAAGCCTGCACTCTGGCCCTCAGACGGCCCAAGACACCCCCACGAGGGCCCCACGATGGCCCGGGAGGACCCCACGAGGGCCTAAGAGGCATCCAAGGCGGCCCGAAGACGGCCCAGGAGGACCCAACCCAAGACTGTGCCAAGATTGCCTCACGAGGGCCCCCAGGCGCCCATCATACTGCCAAGAAGGCCCCAAGATGGCCCAAGAGAGCCCCAAGACTCGCCTACGGGAGCCCTTCGACTGCCCAAGGGGCCGCCACGACTGACTCACAAGAAGCTACGAGGGCCACAAGACGGCCCAACCGAGTTCCATGAGAGCTCCTCAAATAATGAAGGCGAAATGTCTCGTGTGAAACGGCCTTCTTCCTCTTCCTCCTCCTCCTCCTCCTCCTCCTGTTCCTCCTCCGCATCATCCTCCTGCTCTTCCTCTTCCTACTCCTCCTCATCATCATAATTTGCATCAGTATCATCATGATCAGCATCACAATCATCAACATCATCATCACCATCACAATCAGCATCTCAATGACATCGTCATCATCATCATGATGATGATGATGATCATCATCATCATCATCATCATCATCATCATCATCATCATCATCATTATCATGATCATCATCATCGTTATCACGTTTATCGTCACCATCATCACCGGCCACATAATCATCATCATAATCATGAACATCATCCGCAGCACCAGCATCATCATCATTACCAACTGCATCATCAGTTTCATCATCGTCATCGTCGCCATCGTCATCATCATCGTCGTCAGCTTCTTCTTCAGCGTCTCACCGTCGCATCATCATCAGCATCATCACCATCGCCATCACCATCACCATCAGTACCAGCATCAGCAAGAGCATCAGCATCAGCATGATCACCATCACCGTTCTCAACTCTAACTGAAGACATATAACCAGCATCATCATCGTCATCAGCATCACCGTCAGCATCAGCATCAACGTCAGCATCATCATTGTCATCATCATGACCACCATAATACACATCATCATCCTCATAACCATCCTCATCACCACCAGCATCCTCATACTCGTCATCATCATCACCATCATCATTACCATCATCATCGTCACTGCCATCAGCTTCATCAGCAGCATCAGAATCATCATCACCAGCACAGCCGCCATCACCATCAACATCGGCAGCAACAACATCATCGTCGTCGTCACCATCATCATTCTCAATACCGGCATAACCATCACCATCCCCACCATCATCACCATCATCAACAGCATCACCATTCTCATCATGATGAGCGGCATCGGCAGAGGCGACATCGTCGACGTCGTCATCATCATCATCACCATCATCATCGTCACCATCACCATCATCATCGTCATCATCAGCATCAGCATCATCATACACATCAGCATCAGCATCATCATCAGCATCACCATCATCATAAGCAGCAGCATCAGCATCAGCATCATCATCGTGATCAGCATCATCATCAGCATCATCATCATCATCAGCATCATCGCTATCGTCATCATCATCATCATCAGTATCATCATCGTCATGATCATCCTCATCATCATCACCATCAGCATCATCATCACCATCAGCATCATCTCAGCAACATCATCATCAGCATCGTCATCATCAGCATGATCATCATCATCGGTATCACCATTATCGTCATCACCATCACAAACAACATAATCGTCATCATGAAAATCATAAGCATCATCGGCAGCAGCATCATCATGATTCTCATCATCATCATCATCATCAACTTCATCATCATTATCGTCATCGTCGTCATCATCATCGGCTTCTTCTTCTTCATCATCATTATCGTCAACATCATCATCAGCATCATCACTTTCGCCATCATTATCGCCATCACAATGAGCATCATCAACAGCATCATCATCATGATCATCATCACCATTCTCAACTCCAGCTTAACCAACAGAACCAGCATCATCATCGTCATCATCATCACCATCAGCATCAGAATCAACGTCAGCATCATCGTTATCATCATCACCACCATAATCCTCATCATCGACCTCATCATCATCCTCATCATCATTCTCATCATCGTCAGCATCATCATGCTCGTCATCATCGTCATCATCATCACCATCATCATCATCATCATCACCGGCATCAACTTAACCAGCAGCATCATAATCATCATCACAATCATCACCAGCACAGCCGCCATCACCACCATCAACATAAGCAGCAACAGCATCATCGTCATCATCATCATTCTCAACACCAGAAAAACCATCACCATCACCACCATCAACAGCATCAACAGCATCGTCATCCTCATCATAATCAGCAGCATCGGCAGCGGCGACATCGTCGTCATCATCATCATCGTCACCATCACCATCATCATCATGATCATCAGCATCATCATCATCACAAGCATCATCATCACTATCAGCATCATCAACAGCATCATCAGCATCATCATAAGCATGATCATCAGCATCATCATCAACATCATCAACATCATCAATACCATCATTACCGTCATCATCGTCATCGTCATCCTCAGCATCATCATCATCAGCATCATCATCATCAGCAACATCATCATTACCATCATCATCATGATCATCACCATCATCAGCAACATCATCATCGTCAGCATGATCATCATCATCGTTATCACCTTTATCGTCACCATCATCACCAACAACATGATCATCATTATCATGACATCATCAGCAGCATCATCATACTCTAAATGATCATCATCGGCATCATCATAAACATCATCATCAGCATCAACATCATCATCAACATCATCATCATTTCCGTCACCATCATCATCAGCATCATCACCATCGCCATCACCATCAGCATCAGCATCATGATCATCATTACCATTCTCGATTCCAGCTTAACCAACATAACCAGCATCATCATCATCACCATCAGCATCAGCATCATGGTCAGCATCATCATTATCATGATCATCACCACCATAATCCTCATCATCATCATCCTCATCCGCATCATCATTAGCATCCTCATACTCGTCATCATCATCGTCATCATCACAATCATCATCATCGTCATCAGCATCACCAGCAGCATCATAATCATCATCATCATCATCATCATCACCAGCACAGCCGCCATCACCAGCATCAACATTAGAAGCAACAGCATCATCGTCGTCATCATCATCATTTTCAACACCAGCATACGCACCACCATGACCACCATCATCACCATCATAATGAGCATCGCCATCCTCATCATAATCAGCAGCATCGGCGGCGGCGACATCGTTGTCGTCGTTATCATCATCATCGCCACCATCACCATCATCATCATCATCATCATCATAATCATCATAAGCATCATCGTCAGCATCATAATCATCATCATCAGCATCATCATCAGCATTATCATCATAAGCATCATCATCAGCATCATAATCATCAACATCATCATCAGCAACATCATGATCGTTATCATCGTTATCGTCATCATCATCAACATCATCACCGCTCCCCGAAGCCTGGGGACACGAGGTGTCACACGTGACAGTATTACCATGCCCTCCCGAGCAATCGCAACCCAGAATGCCGGGCGAGCGCGGTGGCGGGACTTGCCGCAGGCAGCTGGATACATAGACATATGGATATATATATATATATATATATATATATATATACAGATATATATATATACATACACAAACATCTATATCTATATATCTATATATATGTATATCTCTACGAGTAGATTCCCCAATCAGTGCTTGCACTGAAGGGTTCTTAGCGGATGTTGAAAGATTTGGCGAAAGTTCCCAGCCGATTTCGGTGGGCGGCCGTGTTCCCCGGTTCCCAGTTCCGGGTTCCCGAATTCCCGGTTGCTGGTTCCAGGCCGATTTCGGTAGACTTCGGGGTTCCTGGGTTTCTGGATTCCTGGGTTCCTGTTCGATCTCCTTATCGATCGGTCTCACCATCGATCTCATTACTCATCTCTCTGTCGATCTCCCTCTTCAACCACACAATCGATCTCACGATCGATATCATAATCGATCTCACTATAAATCGCACGAGAGATCTCCCTGTCGATCTCGCGAGCGATCTCATTGAATCGACTTCCTCATCGGTCTGATTACCGACCTTACTATCGTCCTCACGATCGATCCCACGATCGATCTCACAATCGATCGCAATACCCAGATTACGAATTTTCAAACCATCCACTGGTTCGGGCTTTTCTCTGGTGTAATATATGTCTAGGGAAAGCGGCAGGGGGTTAGAGAGAGAGGGGTGAGAGCGCAACCCGAGGCCAAGACCGATGTAGACAGGTCGAAGAGATCCTCTGCGAGAGGAGGGCCCCCCGCTCCCTTTCGGGTGGCCCCGCCCCCGCCCGCCGCACAGCGTCGCGCTGTTCGCCCTATCCTCGGCGCTGGCGTCGGAGGTGAGGTGCACAAGCGCCGCGCAGTTGGAGTGCGCTGCGCAAAGGGCGTCCACCTGACCGAACCCCTCTTCTGCTCACCGCGAAGCAGGACGCCCGCTCGTCCCCATAGACGCACGCACCACTATAACTACAGACACGTGGAGCACTGTGAAATCATCATCGTCATCATTACTTAACACCAGCAACACCATGATCGCCATCCTCATCATTATCCTCCTTCGCCTCCTCATCACCATCCTCATCCTAATCCTCATCCTCATCATCATCCTCTTCCTCCGTATCCTCCTCATCATTAAAATCATGTAAATCCTCAGCATCATCATCATCAGCACAATCACCATCATCATCATCATCATCATCATCATCATCATCATCATCATCATCATCATCATCATCATCATCATCATCATCATCATCGTCATTGTCATCGTCATCGTCGTCGTCGTCGTCAGCATCATCATCACACTCATCATCAGCATCATCACCATCACCAGCGCCATGATTGTCATCATCACCATCACCAGCATTACCAGCATCATCATCATCATCATCATCGGCAGCATCCTCCTCCTCATCATCATCATCGCCATCATCAGCATCGCCATCGTCATCGTCATCAAAGCCTTCGACGGGAAAGCTCACATGCAGACAGTCGACACGAGACACGGAAGCACCGTACACGCCGAGCGGCCAAAGGATGCGGTCAGGTAGAAAACCAGGCAGACATGTTTTTGTGCCTGACCACATCCTTGCTGACCCACATTGCAACGCCGCAGCGGCCTCATCCTCCCTTTCCCCTCGTCCTCGTCCTTCTCCCAGCGTCGTTATTGTCCTCTTTGTTCCATGCCTCCTCATGACTCCAACTTCTCAAGTTGTTTCCTCTTTCTGCAAAGCCTTTTCCTTTTCATTCGTATCCTGCTCCTCTTGCTGCTTCTCGTCGTCCTCACCATCCCTCTTCTCCTCCGCGAACGGTCATTTGTTTTCAAATGTTTCGCTCGGTTTGTTCCGTGGGTCCTTTGTTCCCCAAACAGCTTGCTGAACGGGGTGCTGTTGTGATAGAAGCGAACTCCGGCCGAGGGAAGTCGGAGCAAAGACATCCTCACAAAAAATTGATGGTCCGGGCCGTTTCGCTTGAGACATCCTCACAACTCTCGTTTCTGAGTTGGCCGGGATTGGCCGTTTCGCCTGAGACATCCTCGAAAAGTTGCGTTCCGGGACGCCGCACGAGAGGTGGTCTGGGCCGTTTCGCTTGAGACATCCTCGAAACTCTGAGCCCCGAGGTGCCGTGCGAGAGGTGGTCTGGCCCGTTTCGCCCGAGACATCCTCGAAACTCTGAGCTCTGAGATGCCTTGCGCGAGGTGGTCCGGCCCGTTTCGCCTGAGACATCCTCGAAACTCTAACCTCGGAGATGCCGCGCGAGAGGTGGTCTGGCCCGTTTCGCCTGAGACATCCTCGAACTTCTGACCTCTGAGATGCCTTGTGCGAGGTGGTCCGGCCCGTCTCGCCTGAGACATCCTCGCAACTCTGAGCTCTGAGATGCCGTGCGCAAGGTGGTCCGGCCTGTTTCGCACAAGACATTCTCACAACTCTGAGCTCCCAGATGCCGCGCAAGAGGTGGTCCAGCCTGGGGGCCCAGAAGACCACATGTTACATATCCTCCCTGGGACCCTGGGAGCCCGCCTGAGACATCCTCGAAACTCTAACCTCGGAGATGCCCTGCGCGAGGTGGTCCGGCCCATCTCGCCTGAGACATCCTCGCAACTCTGAGCTCTGAGATGCCATGCGCAAGGTGGTCCGGCCCGTTTCGCACAAGACATTCTCGCAACTCTGAGCTCTCAGATGCTGCGCAAGAGGTAATCCAGCCTGGGGGCCCAGAAGACCACATGTTACATATCCCCCCTGGGACCCTGGGAGCCCCAGGAGGCCCCAGAGAGCTTCAGGAGGCCGCAGGACGCCCAGGACAGGCCCCAGGGGTCCGCAGGAGATTCCCAGGAGGCTCCCAGGAGGCCCCAGGAGGCCCCCTATCAGAACGTGTCAAGTTAATACAAATCCGGTGTCGATTCGTTGATTTTTCCTGCTCTTGTGCCCCCATTTTGGGGGGCCCCGACGGCCACATGTTAGATATCCCCCCTGGGAGCCCCAAGAGGCTTCAGGAAGCCCCAGGTGGGGTCCAGGAGGCCACAGGAGGCCCAGGAGGAAGCCCCAGGAGGTCACCAGGAGGTCCCAGGAGGCCCCAGGAGGCCCCCGCAACTCGGAGCTCTGAGACGCCGCGCTCGAGGTGGTCCGGCCCGTTTCGCCTGAGACTTCCTCGCAGCACGTTTCGCCCGAGACATCGTCGCAACTCTGGGATCCGAAATGCCGCGCGCGAGGTGGTCCAGCCCGTTACGCTGGAGACATCCTCGCAACTCTGGGCTCCGAGATGCCCTGCGCGAGGTGGTCCGGCCCGTCTCGCCTGAGACATCCTCGCAACTCTGAGCTCTGAGATGCCGTGCGCAAGGTGGTCCGGCCCGTTTCGCACAAGACATTCTCGCAACTCTGAGCTCTCAGATGCTGCGCAAGAGGTAATCCAGCCTGGGGGCCCAGAAGACCACATGTTACATATCCCCCCTGGGACCCTGGGAGCCCCAGGAGGCCCCAGAGAGCTTCAGGAGGCCGCAGGACGCCCAGGACAGGCCCCAGGGGTCCGCAGGAGATTCCCAGGAGGCTCCCAGGAGGCCCCAGGAGGCCCCCTATCAGAACGTGTCAAGTTAATACAAATCCGGTGTCGATTCGTTGATTTTCCTGCTCTTGTGCCCCCCCCCCATTTTGGGGGGCCCCGACGGCCACATGTTAGATATCCCCCCCTGGGAGCCCCAAGAGGCTTCAGGAAGCCCCAGGTGGGGTCCAGGAGGCCACAGGAGGCCCAGGAGGAAGCCCCAGGAGACCAGGAGGTCACCAGGAGGTCCCAGGAGGCCCCCGCAACTCGGAGCTCTGAGACGCCGCGCTCGAGGTGGTCCGGCCCGTTTCGCCTGAGACTTCCTCGCAGCACGTTTCGCCCGAGACATCGTCGCAACTCTGGGATCCGAAATGCCGCGCGCGAGGTGGTCCAGCCCGTTACGCTGGAGACATCCTCGCAACTCTGGGCTCCGAGATGCCGTTCGGGATGAAGAGGAGGTGGAGGAGGAGGAGGAGGAGGAGGAGGAGGCATGTTTTAACATGCCATGCCAGCCCGCACTGGACGGGCCGCCAAATTAAACAATGCGAATTACGCTACCGAGGAACCCCACATACTCAATTTAAATCTTATGTGCTTGCTTAAGTTTACAATATATGCGCAATTCTAGGTTCTCAGCCCTCGTCGCGAATGCTCCCCTCTGTGTCATCCAACGCCGTATTGCTTGAACCTCCTCCCTCTTCCTAGCCTTCTATCCTCCATCAAGGACAGATTCGAGCCAGCCAGCGGCCGCGCTCAGGGACCACCCCCTGCGCACCCCCTATGGTGTCTAGAAAGTGCCACGCCTGCTATGCCTGGACGACTGGCACGGATAGCGGCCGCGCTCAGGGACCACCCCCTGTGCACCCCCTATGGTGTCGAGAAAGTGCCACGCCTGCTATGCCTGGACGACTGGCACGGATAGGGGCCGCGCTCGGGGGCCACCCCCTGCGCACCCCCTATTGTGTCGAGAAAGTGCCACGCCTGCTATGCCTGGACGACTGGCACGGATAGCGGCCGCGCTCAGGGACCACCCCCTGCGCACCCCCTATGGTGTCTAGAAAGTGCCACGCCTGCTATGCCTGGACGACTGGCACGGATAGCGGCCGCGCTCAGGGACAACACTGCGCACCCCTATGGTGTGAGAAAGTGCCACGCCTGCTATGCCTGGACGCCTGGCACGGATAGCGGCCGCGCTCAGGGACCACCCCCTGCGCACCCCCTATGGTGTCATGCCTGGACGACTGGCACGGATGGCGGCCGCGCTCAGGGACCACCCCCTGCGCACCCCCTATGGTGTCTAGAAAGTGCCACGCCTGCTATGCCTGGACGACTGGCACGGATACGGCCGCGCTCAGGGACCACCCCCTGTGCACCCCCTATGGTGTCTAGAAAGTGCCACGCCTGCTATGCCTGGACGACTGGCACGGATAGCGGCCGCGCTCAGGGACCACCCCCTGCGCACCCCCTAGAAAGTGCCACGCCTGCTATGCCTGGACGACTGGCACGGATAGCGCCGCGCTCAGGGACCCCCCCTGCTGAGAAAGTGCCACGCCTGCTATGCCTGGACGACTGGCACGGATAGCGGCCGCGCTCAGGGACCACCCCCTGCGCACCCCCTATGGTGTCGAGAAAGTGCCACGCCTGCTATGCCTGGACGACTGGCACGGATAGCGGCCGCGCTCAGGGACCACCCCCTGCGCACCCCCTATGGTGTCGAGAAGTGCCAGCCTGCTATGCCTGGACGACTGGCACGGATAGCGGCCCCGCTCGGGACAACCCCCGCGCACCCCTATGGCGTCGAGAAAATGCCACGCCTGCTAATGCCTGGACGACTGGCACGGATAGCGGCCGCGCTCAGGGACCACCCCCTGCGCACCCCCGATGGTGTCGAGAAAGTGCCACGCCTGCTATGCCTGGACGACTGGCACGGATAGCGGCCGCGCTCAGGGACCACCCCCTGCGCACCCCCTATGGTGTCTAGAAAGTGCCACGCCTGCTACGCCTGGACGACTGGCACGGATAGCGGCCGCGCTCAGGGACCACCCCCTGCGCACCCCTATGGCGTCGAGAAAATGCCACGCCTGCTATGCCTGGACGACTGGCACGGATAGCGGCCGCGCTCAGGGACCACCCCCTGCGCACCCCCTATGGTGTCGAGAAAGTGCCACGCCTGCTCTGCCTGGACGACTGGCACGGATAGCGGCCGCGCTCAGGGACCACCCCCTGCGCACCCCCTATGGTGTCGAGAAAGTGCCACGCCTGCTATGCCTGGACGACTGGCACGGATAGCGGCCGCGCTCAGGGACCACCCCCTGCGCACCCCCTATGGTGTCGAGAAAGTGCCACGCCTGCTATGCC